TTTTCCATACTGCTCTCCTTCTGGTTCCATGTATCCATAAGTCCATTTTCAGCATCTGTTTACTATAACTTTCTAGGAAGAGATGAAACAATGATGACCTAAGACAAAATCTTACGATCTTGTAATATCACAGTTCTTCTAATCAGCTCTCTCAATAATTTCAACCCACTTCTTTCGCATTTCCATATGCAAATAGACCCCTCATTGACTCTAAACAACATCTCTTATTTCTGTCCCTTCGTTTCCATTTTTATGGCCACCAACTCAATTCTTATTCAGTTTGTATGTGGCTGATGTAGTATTTTCTGAACTGTTGGCCTCAGACCTCCTCCCTCCAACAGTCACTGTAATTCGCCCTTCCAGACTAATCTTTACCCTTCTTGTACAAAAAAGTAGGTTCTCCCCATAGCCTGTAAGGATGATGTCTAAACTGTCTGGCATTCAGGACCTTCAACCACCTGATTCCAACTTGACTTTCCACCTTACCTTCTCAGGATCCTCCATCTAGACAACTGTTTTGTTTTGTTTTGTTCTTGTTGTTTTGTTTGTTTGTTTTTGGTGGGAGAAGTGGGTATTCAATCCCATGAATACACATTACTTTTTGCCTCCTCTGTGTTTCTGGGGTTGCTTTTGCATCGCCATGTAAAGAGAAAAGACACTGCTCACCTTTGATTTGTGTTATTATTTTAGAGCTGACTTACACAAATGCTTTTTTAAAAAAGAATAAATTCTCAGAAAAAAATTAATAAAACCTCAATGGAAAGGAATATACAGGTAGAAAAGGAGTTAATACACTTGCCATTTAAACTCTTTGAAGCTTTATTAATAATAATAATTATTATTATTATTGGTAAAATAATTATTATTATTGGTTTAAATAAATGACTCCTTAGAAAGAAATAAAAAAATTTTTTTCAGGGTAGTTAAGAAAAGACTACACAGTCTTGATTACAGCAGTATGTAAAACTGTTATAAGGGGCTATTGCTTTCTCATAATCTTATCGTAACACCAAATACTTCAAAATTTACAAGTCCATAAAGACTCGTTCTTTTTACTATGCTTCAATTTACTTTACTATGCTTCAGTTGACTTTACTAAACTGAAAATGCATGTTTTCCTGAAGTAGAAGTCTTATCTGGAACAAAATTCTTCGAGTTCTAAAATCATAATGTCTTCAAAATAAGAATATTTCTGTTTGTATGACATTACAATCTCCAGGCATATTCTGAATATTAAATAATAGGAATATTTATTAATGATAATTTTAGGAAATTAAGAATGTATTGTTTTGGAAATAGTTCCCAAGGGAGTTGTCTTCTATTGGCTTACCCAGAGGTAGACCCAGAGGTGAGGATTCATGTACAAGTTTTTATTCAGCAGGTGCTTCCAAGAGAACTTGGAAG